AGAAAAATAAAAAGAGAGAAGAGAAGAAAGAAAAATAAAATGAAAGAAGAAGAGAGAAGAGGAAAAAGAAAAATAAAAAGAGAGAAGAGAAGAAAGACAAATAAAAAGAGAGAAGAACATCAGAAAGAAAAATAAAAAGAGAGAAGAACATTAGAAAGAAAAATAAAATGAGAGAAGTGAACAAGGGACGAAGAAAAAAAGAAAAAGAATATATAAGAAAAGGGAGACAAAAAAGAAAGAGAATATATAAGAAAAGGGAGACAAAAAAGAAAAAGAATATATAAGAAAAGGGAGACAAAAAAAAGAGAAAAGAAAGACAGAGAGAAGGAGGGAGAAAAAAGGCAGGAAGACACTGCCGCAGGGATGCGTCAGCAGGCGTGAACCGTGTTCACGGGCCACTGGCATGTGTTTATTGTCGCGGGCGGAAATAAAAGTACTGCGAGAACGCGGAGCTGCCTATGACATCAGCCGGTCAATCAATCCGTTTTGCATGATGATGCATGAAGTGCGTCGGATGAATACCGTGCGGGATGATCACCGGCTGATGATCGCAGTGGGTGCGGGCCGAACTTGCCCGCAGAATTCCATCGCGTAATTATTCACGATTCGCGTACAACACGAAGACATTCTTTGGCCAGTTTTCTCGACGATGTCCCTGGATTATCGACGAAATAAACTCGCGCGACCTTTTCGAAAATCGAGAAAAAAATTACCGGATTATTTAACGCTGGATTTACGGAGCACTAGAAGCAGCTGTTTTATATTATAATTTACAAAAGTAACGATGAGATATTTATTTTGATTTTTAACAAGTGTTGTTGTAATGTAATAAATATATTGAATACAATAAATATATAATAAATAATATAATAAATATATTGAATACAATGAATATATAATAAATAATATAATAAATATATTGAATAAAATAAACATATAATAAATAATATAATAAATATATTGAATACATAATAAATAATAGAATAAATATGTAATATAATAAATATATAATAAATATATAATAAATATATTGAACAAATATTGAGACAATGGACATGGAAAAAATTTTAAAAATATAAATAAAAATGTAAATAAATAACTTACGAACGTATGAACGTATCTTTGCAATCTGAATAATAGTAAATGAAAAAATTAGTGATCCATCGATCAGTTCGACGATTTCTGTGAATTTGACGTTGTATCAGTCCGCGAAACAGGCAGTAAAAAATTTGGCCACCGCTGGAGGACTGATCTTGTTTGTAAACAAGAGTCCATTAGGCTCCGCGCGGCGCCAAGTGGACCAGAAAAAAGTGCGTCGCCGCTCCAAGGTCGGGCTCTCCACGCTCGTTTACTTTGTAATCCGACGCCGTTTTCCTGGTCTCTCAAGGTATCGGATACGCCCGCAAATTTAACTGCGATGAAACATTTCCGAGAACGCTAACGGCAGCCGTTAATAACAATTCTGTCAGCGAGGAACAGCGTCCTCTATAGCTGAACTTGTGTGGACAGCAACATCCGAAGTAGCTTGCAACGTTGCATAACTGTCGGATCGATGGCGAAGAAGCTGAAATAGAATGTCCAAGCCGAACGAACGCCTTCTAGCCTGAGAAAATTTATAAAATCGCGTCAAAAATGGGGTGAACGCTGAGAGAAAAGCACACCGAACGACGCTGAAAACGCTGTAAAACGCTTAAAAATCGCTCCTTTCGAGCGAAACAAAATGCATTTCACGCGTTTCATCGAATTCTATCGAAATATTCGCAAGAATCCGAGCCAAATAAAAATCCTCCCCGAAAAAATTGCGTTACAAGAAATTCTTGGTCAAGACCGGCCAAATTCTACCGACGATAATTCCGCGGGAAATCATCGTAGGACGATGATCTTTTTTTCAAATTAAAGCTCGAAAGCTCTACTTTCAGGCACCGTTTCTATATTTCAAGTTCGACGCACCCTCACCACTGTAATTTTTTAAATACCGGCCCGAGTCTGTCATATTGAAAATCGTCAAGTTCAAAAATATGCTCGGACTTTGTAAAATTTTGTTCGGAGATGCCATTTTCAGTGGAACAAAATTCGATCCTTCCGCTTTAGTTTAAAAAAAAAGAAACGTGGCTGCGATTTTTTTTCGCTAAGTTATACCGCTTTAAAGTAACCCTTGCCAATCTCGGTCCCCTGGGAGGGGGTGGTTTTTCTACGGTTACTTTTAACGTATTACGGCAGTGAAGGGGGCGTCAAACATAAAATCGAGTGTTTTAAAGTAGAAGTTCCAAGCTATAATTTAAAATTAGATTCGTCGACTAACGATGATTTTTCGCGAAGTTATCGGCGTTAGAAGTTGGTGAATTTTCATCGAAGATTTTTGTATTATTTTGAACTGCGTTTTTTTGTTCAATTAATTAATAACAATTTCTGCAAATATTTATAACAAGTCGCCGCGCAGTCCGTGGCCCAACCGGCTCGAATACCGCGACTGTGGATAGGTTCCGTTAGAATTGCCTAGATCCGCCGGCCGTTGCCGGTCTATTCTCGCGGCCGAAGAAAACGCATCGCCAATGCCATCTTTTAGGCGGCACCCGCCGTTTCTGGACCGCGTTCGACTTTGTGTTACCGTTTCGTATCTATATTTAGATCTGGTCCAGCATAGCCTGATAAACTGGGTCGCGTTACGACGCTTCCGCGATTCTCGTTCGCCCGCATACCGAACATTCTCTTCCGAGGAAACGCGTCCGACGCGACGGCAATGTACACGTTCGTTCACATTTGCCACCTATTGTTGTTACGAAATATTTTACATTATTATTTAGAAAAGCTTTTATTATTTATAAACGCTCATCGAAGAAAATTGAAGCGCGTTTTGCAAACGAGATTTTTAGTTCAGAGTGAAAATAACTCGCAGCACGGTGTCGAAAATGTTTAAAATTGTTTGTCATGTGAATTGGACGAAATGTTTATAATTATTTGTCGAACGTATCCGAACCAAACATCTTCGATTTCCCGCCGCAAAAGCAGCGTTAAAATACGGTGTGAAGCTGTGCAAAAAAGCTCGAACTTCATTTTTTCATTATTAAGTCATTATTGTTATGTTTTTTATTTATTTTATTTTTATTTATTTACGTTACTATTTTTTTTATTAAGTTCTATCGAAATATTCATGCGGATCCAAAGCAAACACCTTCCATTCCCAGAAGAATTGAAAAAACCGCAAAAATAGCGCTAAAAAGCGGTGTCAAACATTGTCAAACTCGCAAAAATCACTTTTTTGGAGTGAAACAAAATGCAATAGCTGCATTTTATCGGGTTCTATCGAAATATTCATAAAAATCCAAAGTAAACATCTTCAATTCTCAGAAAAATTGAAAATTCTGCAAAAAATAGCGCTAAAAAACGATGTCAAACGTTGTCAAACCCGCAAAAACCACTTTTTCGGGTGAAACAAAATGCAATCAATGTGTTTGATCAAGTTCTATCGAAATGTACATACAAATCCAAAGAAAACAACTTCAATTTCCAGGAAAATTGAAAAATCCGCAAAATAGCGCTAAAAAACGGTGTCAAACGTTGTCAAACGCGCAAGAAAATCACTTTCCTCGAGTGCACAAAAATGCAGTCGTTGTATTTAATCAAGTCCTATCGAAATATTCATACAAAACCAAAGCAAACATCTTTAATTCCCATATAAATCGAAAAACCAGCAAAAATATCGTTATAAAACAGTGTCAAACGTTGTCAAACACCTAAAAAAATCACTTTCCACGAGTGCACAAAAATGCAGTCACTGTACTTATCAATTTCCATCGAAACATTCATACAATTCCGAACCAAACGTTGTCAAACCGTGTCAAACGACGTCAAACCGTATCAAACTGTGTCAAACTCTGTCAAACCATTCAAGAAGTCTGAAAACGTCGCGAAATCGAACGCCAATTCACGCCAAAACCTATCGAAACGCGCGCGAACGTTCGAAGCGAGCGCAGCATCGATCGCGGCAAGCTTTCGACCGCGCAGCTTTCGTTCGAACGCGGCGTCGTTCGCGGCCGTTCATCGATCGTTTTTTTTCCCACGAATTCGCTGGTGAATTCGTTTCGCGTCGCGCGTCTGCCCGAACGAATTAGCGTCAACGAGCCACGTGGGCGGCGGCCCGTGCCGCCAGATTTAGACGGACCAATGACAAATTGAAATTAGCCGTTTATGGGTGTCCCGTGATTCATCGGGGCCGTGCATTCGGCGGCGCGGCGGAATCTGCGCGGTGCGTGGTGGGGGGAGCAAAAAAAAGAGGAAGCAACAGCGACGGCGGAACACGCATTCTCGGCTTAACGAGCGTGTTCCGCGTTCGTTAAATAGAGTTATACGTTTCCTAGCGTCGGACAGGTGACGGCCGCGTCCTGAATCATTCGGACGCGGATAATCGGATTCCGAAGACGAATGGGCCCCCGGGCCCAGCCGTTCGTCATTTCGACCGACTCGTTAGAACATCGGAAATTCCGTTAGCCGTCTAACGAGAGACGGTCTAACAACAAACCATTCAAATATTTAAACAATTTCATTGCATTGTTGTATTATCTGTAATTTTTATTTATAATGGTAATGAAGGGATTAATTATCGAAGACATTTTGTTATCATTTTAATATTGTTTTAATATATATTTTAAAATATACATTAATTTATAATATATATAATATATTACATATATTATTATACATTACTATGTTATTATTATACATTACTATATGTATAATAATATATATAATATATTACATATATTATTATACATTACTATGTTATTATTATACATTACTATATGTATAATAATATATGTAATATATTATATTAATATATAATAATATATGTAATATATTATACTAATATATTAATATATTATATTAATATATAATAATATATGTAATATATATTTTTAAATATATTTTAATATAAAACGTTATTATTTTTTCGGAACGTTTTACTTCGTTCTTTGTAATCGGTTCTTGATTCTCGTTTGCAGATGTGGCGGCTAACGTTCTGGACGTACTTCCTGCTGATTGCGTTATCGCTGGCTCCGCTGCAAAGGGTCCTCGCTTGCACCTGCGTGAGGTCCCATCCGCAAACATTGTATTGCAAGTCAGACTATGGTATGTGTGACGTCGGTTTTCGATCTTCAGAAAATATACACTATTTCTGCTTGTTGTTCATTTGAAAAATTGTATTTTCCATGGTTAACTTTGTATTTTTTCAATAGATGTTTTGAATGATCTTATTTTCTGTTTTGCAACAACGAAATAAAGTATTTGATTTTGTACTGTCGATTGACTCAATGAATAAGTCAATAATGATAATAATAGTAAGTCAATAATTAATATAATAAGAATATAACAAGAATATAAAAAGAATAGAATAATAATATAATAAGAACACAAATAGGTGTATAAATAAAAATATAACGAGAATATAATGAGAGTATAGTAAGAATACAAATAAGAATATAACAAGAATATAACGAGAAAATAATAGGAAGATAAATTATAATATAACAAGAATATAAAAAGTATAGANGAATAGAACAATAATATAATAAGAATACAAAAAAAATAAAATAACGATATAATAAAAATATAAAAGGAACAAAATAATAATATAATAAGAATACAAATATATAGGAGTATAAATAAAAATATAACGAGAATATAATGAGAATATAATAAGAATACAAATAAGAATATAACAAGAATATAACGAGAAAATAATAGGAAGATAAATTATAATATAACAAGAATATAAAAAGTATAGATTAATAATATAACAAGAATACAAAGAAAATAGAATAACGATATAATAAAAATATAAAAAGAACAAAATAATATAACAGGAAAATACAAAGAGAATAGAATAACGATGTAATAAAAATATAAAAAGAACAAAATAATAATATAACAATAATATAGTAAGAATAAGTCGTAATATATTCTGCGATCTTGACCGCTATCGATTTTCCAGTGGCGGTGGTGAGAGTGAGGGGAGCCGAGAAGAGGAACGACATCCAGCTGGCGTACCACGTGAAAGTGAATAAAGTCTTCAAGGTGCGTGAGTCTCTCCCTATGGACTTGATTTTTAC